CTGCTTAGATTCTGAGAATGCCAAGCCTTTTTTTTTTTTTTCCCTCTCTCGAACTTTTGCTTCTCTGAAAAATTCCTCAGTTTTGGCTTTTCATCATGACCTCGGATGAACATAAACATCAAAACATCCCCAGCTCTGTCATGCTGGAATCATTCTGGATCTGGGCTGCCCAGCCTAGCCTACAGCCCATGGTAGGGACTGCAGCAGTTTGTCACAGCCAGATTTTGACGAAACCAGAGTAGAATTGACTGGAAGCTTTCACACACGAACAAGCAAATATGCTGTGGGTACTACTCACCCAAAGGCATACACTGTGCTCGAGTTGTAATATCGACCCAGTTCTGTGGCACCAATCAGTTCCTTCAGCTGTAACGAGAATGTTGTCTGATAACTATTGTGCAATGTTACAGTGGCAAAGGACCTATGGACACCCCTATGTTCCATCCCTCTTGCTGTAGAGACCCGCCAAGTCTGTCACTTGGATGAGGGTACCTGACCCCTTCCTCCTTCTACTCACTGAACTGCCTCAGGGCCAGCTCTGGTCATGAAATTGGCCTCACCATCTTCTGGAGCTTAGCTGACTCCAACCAGAAGGCTCTGGACTCCACCTGCCCAAGGTCCGGGGAGTACTGGCGATTGAGGACCTGGAGGCTGCCACAGTAATACTGCAGGATAGCCGGTTCCAGGTGCCATGGTCTGTAGTCTGTCAACAGAAGACACTACTGAATTACCCTGTTGATATGTAGGAGAGAGGGGTTTACCCATGTGTATAAGTCTGTAAAGATCACCCAGAGTCACTAACACATTCTGGGGTGGGCGTTGCGTTGACTACAGCCCATCCACCTTGTGTGTGGGGACAAAACGTGTTGGATTTTTACCTAGGAAATACCAGGTTGCTGCAGCAGCTCCAGCCAGCAGAAGAAAGGTTGTCCCAATGGGCACGTAGCGGAGGCAGTCGCGTGAGTTAGTCTCACACTTATCCTTTGAGAAGGAGTTAGCATCTTCCTCTTGTTCCTCAGCCTCCATCAGGGGCATCTAGTGACACAGCAGTCCGTGGTCAGGATGAGTTTTCTGCTTCCCTTCCCATCTGTCTCTAGAGGTGCTCTGCCATTTCTGTGCTCCTCTCTATAGCCCCAAGAGATCTGTGTGCCAGCCATCAAAGACTTTGCTCAGTGCAAACGTGAGTATAACTCCTAATTCCATGGGAGACAGGCTTCCAGGACACTGTCCTGTCTACGTCTCCTGGTAATTTCTTAATTTTCAAAGGCATTCCCTGGGGTTTGCTTCTGCCAAAACCACAAATGAGTACAATAATGAATTTCTCCAGAGACACAAGTGTTGTCCTCCCAGGCTGGGAACAGTTTTAAAAGTGGTATTTTATTGACCCAGAAATCACTGTAATAGAAAATCTATGATCTCAGATGCACGCAGAAGTTGCACAAAACAGCCACAGCCTGGGAGACAGAAGCTGCACTTTGTCTGCTGTGCCATTTTGCTCTCTGTCTCTAAAAGCATGCAAGCCTTACCATTCCCACCAGGCTATGTTTCCCAGGGCTAAGGCCATGCTAGTTTAGTTAGTGAGGAGAGATAACCTGAGCAACATTCAGCCCCCTACCATCCTCTGCTTGTGCCAGGGCACATCTTCTGTCTTCCTATGCCCCTTGTCTCCTCCAGGATGCCTTTTTTGCCTCCTCTCCACCACTCCCCTTCTGACTGCATCAGACTTAATGCCACTGATGAAGGGAGCCACATTGATCTTGGTTATCTGACCCAACTTCCTTCTCCATTCCTCTGCCATCACTGAGTGCATGGCTGCCCACAAACACTTTCTGTGTCTCTGTGTCTGGAGAGAAAAGGGGTGTGAAGCATCCAGGTGGGAGGGCACAGAGGTTTTGGGAAATGCCTGTGCCCTGTCTACATGTCTGAGAATCCCCTTTGTACCCAATGGTGTGTATGAATGAATGGGAGGGACTTGCTGCGTATGTGGGAAGAGATGGTTTGCCTCGTACATTTTAGCCCGCATGGCTGATATGAAGCATTCCAAAGATAGGGGCGAGTGGGCTCCTAGGTCTCCTTGCTTTTCCCAGTTATGGAGTCCCAAGCCCTCCAGGCTGCCTTGCAACATGAAAACACGCTTGCAGAAAGCAAGCACCAGCTAGCTAACTTCAAAACATTAAACCCAGCTTGGTGAACATCAGCACTTGGACAATCAGCCACATATCTACTGCTCTAGTACACCCTTCTAGAGAGGCACATGGTACAAACAGGTCCAGCAGAGATTGCCCTCCCTTGCTTCTCATGGGTCACCCTTCTATGCAACCTCTGGGGAGCATCTCTTTGCCAGTGAACTAAGTTGGGCAGTCCAGGAGAGCAAAGGCACTTCTCTGCTATCACAGCATCCCTTCAGAAACAGCAGGCACAAGCAAAGAACCGCAGACAGAGGGGCAGGGGCAGGAAGTCAGGAAGCAGCAGCAGCAGAGTCTCTTTGTTAGAAGGCACTGGGGTTTCCCCTGGAGCTGCAGACCTACCTTTGAAGCCTGTTGCCATCTGTGAGGCTTGGCCCACACCCCCTACGCAAGCCAGCTCACACACGCATGGAGAGGGGGGAGAGAGGAGGACATTTATTTACCCAAGCTCAAGGTTGTCTCAGCGATCAATAATGTGGTGCCATATCCCTTCAGCTCAACCTTTGTCCTGTGCTGTCCTGCTGCAATGGGTCAGTGCACCCCCTACAATGGGGATTTTCTTCTCTGAAATGGAGGTTTCGGAGGCTTGTGCAGGGATAATATCTGCAGGCTGAGCCTGGAATAAGTCAGGGTAGAAGCACCTCCAGCCGCGCAGAGGAGAACAACCCAGGAGGCTGGTGCAGATAGCTTACGTTGTCTTCCTCGGGGGACAAGGAGTTACTGAGCAACTGCTGTATTTCTTAGCTACCTTCCTTGGTCCCATTGGAGGGAGAGACAAAGCACAAGGTGTGTGCTCCCCAGCACAGGGATGGAGCAGATGTTGGCTGGCAGGTGTAAATTGCTTGAAGGAGGGAAGATGACAGTAGGCAGTGGGTCTGGTTACTGCAGTGGTCATGCAGATGAAAGTATGGTGTCTCTAAGTTCCAACCTGCCTAAGTCTTGTCTTCTTGCTCTTCTTGCTGGTCACTCTGCAGACAATGGGTTCCCTGCACTCTGTTGCACGGCCACTCAATCCTCCCTGCAGCATCTGCTTTCCTCCAGCCCCAGGTCCTCCTCACCCACCTTACCTGCACCACCTTCTACTTACAGCCCCGCAGCTCTGTACATGCCCCTGTGTTTTCCAAAAAAGGAACTACAATCCAGCTAGAGTAGAGTAAATAGACTTATTCTGTCAATAAATGGGTGGAGGGAATGTGCACATGGGCAACTCTCAACCTGGGACTGAGCTCCATCCGGTGACATTGACCTGGGGCTGAGCTCTTTTGTGCCAGAGCTCATTTTGGCTTATTTGGCAGCTGGGCAGGGGTAGCTGTTTTCAGTTCTGCCACTATTTCAGGTTTAGTCCAGGACTGCAAGAAGATTAAAAAGCCATTGCTCTCGTTGCCTCATGGTGGATTCTAGTAGGTAAATGTTAAATGTGGATAAAAAGCTGCAGGGTTGGTTTGGGAATATGTCAATGTCGTTAGCCCGACTGACTCATTGCTGTACATATGGGAAATGAGACACGCAATGGCACTAAGAGCTGCTTTCAGAACTGCCCAAGAGGTTTAAGAGACCAGGTTTCTCTTTAGAAGTTACTTTGATCCAAAATTACCCCAAATGACTGGGGACTAGCTATGTCTGTAGACATATATATATTTGTATATAACTTTCCCAAGTTTATACTATGAGGGTTTGTCACAGTGGGTCAGAACTCAGCTGAGGATATTTTCCAAAGCCAGAGATCTTACTTTTCTGTGTCCAACATTCCTGGAAAGGAACATCCTCCTTCTCTGTTGTTTTCAGCAGAACAAAAAAAATGTAGAATCTCAATCTGATCTATCTAAGCAAACTTACCACATCCATCACCGCAGGCTTTTGAATCAACCAAGGACCCAAAACCTTGATCAGATCTGACTTCAGACGAATTCCTTTACTGCAAGTACCCTTTACTTTCTGCTTCTTGATAGTAAAAAGAAAGTAGGGATGTGGGAGAGGACTGAGAGTTAATGTCTATGTATGAACAAGTTATCTTGGGAAGAGGTTGATGAGAGATGTGACTGCTGTCATTGCTGTCCCTAGCCTTAAGATAAGGAGAGGACTCATGTTTGCGGCTATTAGCTCAATATTTTCCACACAATACTGGTGTTCCCCTTTGGTTTCCCTCCGGTACTGGTGGACGCTATCATAGCATCTCTGTGGTTCTGCGAACCATACGCTATGCCTTCACATCAGCTTTAGGGGGAACTGCTCCCCATGTGACATTTCCGAGGAGCTCTTGGGGAGTCAGCAGAGAAAGGGTGCCGTATCACTGAGAGTGTTATGCTTCTAGTATTCTAGACCTGGGTTACTCACATACAAGACCACATGATCTTGTCTTCCTGGAAGAAAGGTCCAGTTATCGTCAGATCTGATGTTGAGCACTTCCTGCTGCAGTGTGTCGCACATTCACACCCAGCATGGCTGCAGATGCAGTATTAACAGCTTGCCAGCTCGAAACCTGTCAGCGTTTTCACAAGGAGGGGAAAAAGTACTGAGCCAGCAGGATGGTCCTCAGGGCCTTGTGGCAGGATCACCTCCAACTCTGCTTTCTGTTTTAGGTGGCTGATTCCCTGAGGGGAGCAAGTAAGGAAGGCGGGCTAAAGGTGTATCGAGCAAAGCTTTGCGTAGTCACCTATTTGGAAAAGCTGTTAACTCTTTCCCCCCACACCAAAGGACAGAAACCCACTGTAGATTACTAAATATTTCTTTTATTTGGAAAAAGGCAAAGTTTTTCTTTTGTACTCAGAAGCGAGAATAATGAAAAAGCTGATGAAGATCTACATTGTACATAAGTACAACTAGGATACTTGGCCCATGTAAAACAGCAAATTGCCTGTCAGGGGCATGGGATTCAGCACATCTTTTTGAAGTCCATCTGGGAAGATTCTCAATGTATAACAAGCAGCTGGGCAAGCCTTATGCTTCCTTATCCAGGAAGCTGTAGGATGGTCTTCAGCCATTGTCTCCTGCAGACAACGGAGCAGTCCACATCTTGATGCAGGTGGTGAAGAAGCTGATGAGAGGAGAGGTTTAGCTCCCCCATTCCTCTCAGTTACATTCAGGTTCAGCTCCTCTGAGCAGCACTTTTGAGGTGAAATCCAAGCCAGTGGGTACCCCATAGCTGGGACTCATAATAATATTCCGTCTGCATAATGCAAGGTCAGGTAACAGCGTGGAACCGTGACAATGGGGAAGCTCAATGCTTGTACAAACAGGGGTAAGGAAGAGTTAGTTCTGAGTGATACTCAAGGGGTGACAGAAGTAATGAATTTGATATCCTTGACCTTTTTGATATAAAAAATCTTAGAAGAAGAATCTTTAGCACAGGGCTGATATTTTCCCATTGCTGAGTAGTCTAGAAATATGCAAGAAAGCAGGTAACAGTACAGATGTTAAATGCAGGGATGTGTGTAACCAGAACAGCTTGTCTTCCTTTGCCTTGCCGCTTTTCTTCCATGTTGAGCTGCTTTTTCTGAAATGAGATCAGCAAATGCAGAGGAAAAACAAAAAAAAAACACAGTTTGGCCTTTGCTATCCCCATTCTTTGTGAGTGGATTGGGGTTTTCTTTTCAGCAAAGGTGCTGATTTGTGGGTTAGTTTTCTGGGCTTATTCACCACATCTTTGCTGCTAATTAGGCAGTGGTTTTCCCTTGAGCAATGGAAGGAATGGGCAGCAGTGTTGTGATGTTTTCCACTAATACAGGATGTGGGATGAACTATTCTGCAATCAGCTTATCGTAGTCAAATAACTGTATTTTGCCAGCAGGGCAGAGAGGCTTTCGATTTCATGAAAAATATTGCAGCAAGAATGGGAAATTGTGTGCGTTCTCTTTACTGCCATCATCAGACCTGGGGGAAAGGGAGGAGGGGGATTTCCCCACTATTTTTAACCCAAGAGTGGGGATTTGTTTTTACATTGCATTGCCTTAGACAGCTGACACAGCTGGGGCTCTGAGCCTCCTTTGGAGACTCAAGCCCAAAGCTGGACTGAGTAGCTTAGAATGTAATATCTGATTAAAACCTGAAGTGGGGACATCACAGGAAAAGTTATACCCTTGGTCAGACGTCTTCACCCATTTCATCACTGGCCACAGCACTGACCAGCAGTGCTACTGTCCCTTGTACAAAACCTCATGTCTACCTTTTCAGGCATTTCTCCCTCTCGTTAGAGGTTTTTAGGCTGGGATGAGGCAAATGGACCATGTGGCTGCTCAGCATCAAATCTGAGTGCTATTTCACACCAAGATGCAGAGCATGGAAGTGCTGGCACAGCCTCCTGCTAAGGAGCTGGGAAGTTAAAAACAAGCTGGTGCAATTTGGGATGGCACTTGAGCAGCTCAGAAAGGGGTTTCTACGCTGTCAGATCCAGTAATAGCAGAGAAACAGGTTCAGTTACAAAGGTGAGTTCTTGTTGGCCTGTATGCCTAAGAATCAGGCTTGTATGTCTCCATTAGCTATGTCGCCACTGAACAGCTTTAATGTGCCTTTATTGTTTTCCATCTGTTGCTTTACTGCCCAGTAGCCTAGTTCTCCATACAAAATGTCCTCTCATTTCCAGTGGTCTGTTTCACGAACACCTTCGGAACTGGTGTTTACCTATTTAGACATCCATGAATTTACACCTTGTCCATCCTATCCCTTTTCTGGTTTTGCAGCCCTCTAGAGTAACTGTGCTCTCCAGCCTCATTAAAGAACAGTCCCAAGGGGTCTGATGCTGAAGCCACGTTCTTGCCCTGAATAGCAAAACTGTCACTCCAGCCTTTCCTGCAGAGGAGGCCTTTCCCACCTGTGGGTTTCCTCCAGGCAGATCCTAAACAGAGCAATAACTGTATTGGCACTGGAGGTCCCTCAGGGAAAGGTAGGCACCAGTGTTTGGAACCTGGCTGGAGCAGGCTGTTCTGCATGAATCTTCATTCTGGCTCTGCCTTAGAGGTGAAGGCTGTGAGGAAGAAGAGGTATCATGTACTGCTGGTGTACAGGGGTCAGTCGGAGGGTCTGCCTCCCCATTCCCCTCCATTACATCAACAGTATTGCTGTCATCCAGGTCTGGTGGGTCAGGGAAGTCAGTGTCCAGCTGGCACAGGGCCCCAGGATGCTGTAAAGCTGCTTTGTCCATCACCTTCTCATTCTGTTTCAGAACTGGTGTTGGTGAAGTGCCTTCACTTGACTGGAGAACCCCAGAAATAGCCATGGCCTGCTGGGATTCTCCTTCCATCTTTTCCATGAGTGGGCTGCTTTGTAATCCCTGGGTCACCATGATACAGTGCAAGAAGTTGTGGTACAACACTGGCATATCCTCTGTCAGTGTGCAGAGGTCTGGAGAGTGTAGAGCATGGTAAGGCTCACCGTTCCCACTGTCAATGCCCTCCTGTGTGAAAGGCTCATAGGTGAAGTATACCTGGCAGGGCTCAATTTCAAAGGAGTTGGAAAGGGGGAAGAAGAAGTAGCCTTGGTCGGTGAAGCAGCTGGATACAGAGTGGCCACTGTTTTCTAAGGGTGGTTCAGGAGTTAGGGTGCCCTTGGAAAGTAGAAGCTGTGATTCCTGGTCATTCTTCTGCATCACCTCAAGCATGGAGATCTCTGGGGTTGTGCTGTTCACACAGTAGGAAGATGTGGAGAATGGGGAGGAGAGCCATTTCTGATGGGAAAGAAACACAAAGTTTAACACTCAGGGCTTCTCCTGAGCGCCCATAGCCATCAAGTGACCTTTTCTCTGTCTAAGCAAGAGTTGCTGGAGGTGGGGAGGGAAATTCACATTCATGATATCTTATCTGCAGGATTTACAGAGAAATTATGTCTTTCTGTCACTTTGAAATCAAAAGTGGATCTTGCAAGCCTATGTTTTGAGATTTCTGGAGGGTGAATGGAAGATGAAGGATAAAATTGAAGGAAGAAAAAAACCCTACAAGGCTGTAAGATGAAGGTGGAAACATGAAAAGCAGTACTGAGATGCTTGTCACGCAATCTGTTCCTAGGTGCTGAACCAGTTTCTGATACATCTGCATGGCACTATGCAGATTTCTTGTCTCAAAGTGCTCTTCCAGGCCCCTTGTGCCTAGATTTCCACACTCGTTATGAGTGCATCAGTATCCTTAAAAACTAACTGGTTTTGGTTACATCCAGCTTCATTGCCTTTATGGCCAGTAAAGCCACTTTTTCTAGTCCTTTCTGCACTGAGAAAGTGTCTTCAGTGCCCACTGCACACCCCCAGTCCCCTACTCTGCACTCTTCCCCTGTAGATAAGCTTTCTAAGCCTTTTTGCACTTAGGCTTTTCCAAAGCTTTGCTGTCCTCTGCACCTTCTGCAGTTTTTTTCCATCCTTCTTAAAGAGAGATGCCCCTTGGGAACCCCTCCCACGCCTTGCATCTGACACTCCCTTTAATGCTGCACAGAATGGTAATTGTCTACTTGCAGCTGCCTGTGCTCACAAACGAGACAAGGGGAAGGGTGAAAGTGGAGGTGGAGAAAGAAGGAAAAGAGACAACAAGAATTCAGTGAACAGAGGAGCACCACCCAGAGTAATGGCCATTCTAGTCAGGGGCAGGGGAAAGGCTCAGAGCTGGGAGGAGGAGATCACAGCAGGAAATCTGGGGAGGATCTAGGCAGCCTAGAGCAGTCAGGGAGGGCCTGAAGTGGGGTTGAAAGGGACCTGAGAGGCCAAGCTCCCTGCTGCAAGCCCCTTGTTTTCTCCCAGGCTCCCTGTTAGGGGAGCAGCGTGCTGAGGTTTGTGTGGTTTGCTGTTTCTCAGTTCTGTAGTTAGAGATGCCTCAGCTGAGTGTCAGGTTTTGGAAGGGCAGAAGGTTTCTTTCGAGCAGAGGACTCGGCAGCTGATGCTACAGGCACATGTGCCAGGTGTGCATATATGTAGGTCTCAAAACTGCCTGCTTGCCCTTAGGCATGTTTAGCTGGACCCTCCTTTCCCTCATTGCTTGCTCTTATCCACATGGCTCTATCCCCAGTCCCATACCTGAATGTCACCTCCGTGAACTGAAACAAGTGGGGGGAAGAACTTCTCGGGGTCTGGGATGTGAATCTTCAGGATCTTCTTAAACCTTGAGAAAAGAAAATGAGAAGAAGGATTGAGGCAGGCCCCAATCCTGACCAACCTGGCACTGTGATACAGGTAGGAGAAAGTATTGCAGCTCATGGGTGTTACTCTGGCGTGGGGAACGGGTAAAATAAGAGCAAAGCTGAGGGCTGTCTTTGCTCTTGAGCGGCTTAAAAAGCAGTAACTGAGGGATGAGATGTATAGAGATGGGGTAGTTAAATATGGTATTGGAAAATAGATTGCCCTTAGCCTTTTCCCTGGGGAGGGTAGTTAAATCTGGTATTGGAAAATAGATTGCCCTTAGCCTTTTCCCTGGGGAAGCACAACCAACAGTTCACTGGTTTCTTCCCTGCCTTGGCTGGTCACCTTAACTTCTCCACCTGCTCCCTTAAGGCCCTATCTTGGTGACAAGCTGGACACGTCTCCCTTGTTTCCAAGCTTCAGCTGCCGTGAGCTGCCCCCTCTCTGCTTTGCTGACACCACAGTGACTCTGAGCACCATGTGGCCTGAGCAGGACCATCACTGGCAAAGCTGTGGCCGGAGCTCTCTGCCCTGTTAGCAGGATGCTGCGTGGTATTGCTAGGACACACTGGCCATGCAAGCCGAGTATACCTTGCAGCAGTCCAGAGGCCTCTACTGTACTGGAACCAGCCCGTTGCCACCCTGAGGTATCATGAAGTGATCTAATCTGTTTCTCGGCCCCTCAGAGAGGTTGGCTGATCTTGTCAGCTCTTTTCTGAAGCTTTGCTGTGGGATGCTTTGAGGAAAAACCCTCTTGACCTCTGGAGGCAATCAGTGTACTCTCTGAAGCATCAGAATTTGCTAGTTCTTGCATATAAACTACCTTACATCACTGCAGATGCTATTTTTATTCATGCATGTCTAATCCTTCCCTTGCGTCTTACCTCAGCATTATCCTCCATCCAATTCCCCATGGTTAATTATACTTTGTGAAGAAAGGAGGTTTTTTCATCTCTCTCTGTGCCATATAGCTAGCACTTCCTCACTTTTGTATTATGACTTAACGTAAAACACAGTGACTTTCTCAGTATCCATCTTCCTTCAGCATGCTTCTCCTCTTATCCTTACAAAGAAGTCATCCAGGCTCTGCTGCCTCATCCCTGAGAATATTTCTCCCTGCTCCCTGCCATGAACATCAGCACGCTGCTTCCTTGCCCCTGCCCTAAGATGAGAAAACCTGTGGCCTTTTCTAACCTCACCGTCACTCTCTATGTTATTGCATGGGGTAACCTTGCGAGACACTTTCAGTTCTGAACAAAAGCAATGTCTGGGGAGAAACACTGGCAAAGAGATCTTTAAAGCCTCAGGTAGATATTTACCAGCATGTGATGAGATACTTCAGGACTGCACAGACAAGGAATAGGCAGAATTGTACTTCTCACTGTAATCCTTGTGCAACAGAAGTTCTAAGGTGGCTGTTTTTAATTCAGCGAGGGCATGGCACCAGGTCACAGGAGCGCGGCACAGTGCAATGATGGTGGTAAAACCACATCATCTTGGGTGGTGATATATCTCCCCAGACAAGTGTCAGCCTCAAAGGGTTGGGCTATAAACCGTATTTTTAAGTTGTTCTCTATGCTGAATCACAGAAGGTGAAAAATAGGCTGGGTTTTGAGAAGACACATAAAACACAGGAGAGGAACAGAGCGGAAAACGATTCTCATTTACCATTTCAGGGTCCGTAAGTTAATAAGGAAGGCAGTTCCAATGACCACAAAGATGCAAGTGCTCACTATAAGAAATGGCAGTACCGGTTGGGATGTTTCTGCAAGATGAGAGAGAACAAGGGATTTGCTGTAAAAATTTAGCCAGGATGCTGGAGGTAGGATCTGCGGCCCTTCCATGGCTGTTCAAGGTGATCAAAGTGTGCCTTTATTATGATTTTATATAATAGTACAAAATTATGCATAATTATAATATACAGGGCCTTTATTATAATTGTATATAATAATATATACAATTATAATATACAGGTCAGATAAATTGAACTATTTTCTGCTATGTTGTATAGAATGCCTATGAGCTGATACGGGTTTCAGAGTCTACTTAATAGGTAATTTGTGCTAAACAGCTTGAACTCTGTTTATAACAGCACCACAGCTGGGGGTTGCCACAGATAAGATGCCACAGTCTACTAGTTGAAGTGCCCATCAACATATCTGTCTCTTTGCAAAGGAAAGCAACGAGTCCTAAAATCAGCTTAAGTGGGACTGGAGACTTGACGTGGTGTTATGAGTCAGTGGGGGAGACAGAGTCATGGGGTTCATGGGTCCTTGAGAAGGCAGGAGGGCCAAGGATGGAGAAGGTTAGGGGTCAAAGGACTGCCTTCTTTCTTTGGAAAAGTGTAGGAAAGCTTTAGGTTACAGCTTTCCATCATATTTTAGCACTTGGATTAGGAGAAAGAGACTGAGTTTCCACATTGCCACTGCTGCCAGCACTCCTCAGGCTTGTCTGGTGTCATTTCTAACTTTTCTTAATCTGTCTCTTTCACACACATCTTCCTAGTGCACGTTTTCCTGGTCTTGCTCTTCTGGTGCCCACCTCCTCTGCCTGCTCCCTCATCTCACTCCATCCCTCACAGCCCTTGGTCTGGGCCTGCGGAACATCTCTGGAGTAGTTGTGAGGAAGCAGAGAAGAGTAAAAGGAGGAGGAGACATTTTTAGGACATTCTTTGCCTGTCCTTGAGACGCTACTCAGATCACTTTGTCTCCTCTGCCTCTGGTACCCTGGTTATCTTTGGGTCTTGGTTGCTATGACAACTGTTTGCGGCTGTATCCTATTCACTGACATCACACACTGTCAAAATTTGATCACCACAGCAACACAGTGCCCTTTCTAAACATAACTCCTCTGTTTATACCAGCACCAGGCGGCACAACAAGGAGGGGCTGAGCAGGGGCAGAATAGGGGTGAAATGAGAAGGAATAACCTCCATCTGCTTATCTTTTGGAAAAGAAATTACAGAGACCACAGCCAATCACTCACTGAAGAGACTTGCTCAGGGCACTGTCTTTCAAGCTGGAGGTGTCCTAAATGATACGGTTCACAGCAATGACTGATGTAAGTCTCAACAGAGCTTCTCAGCTTGGAGAAGAGAAGGCTGTGTGGAGACCTCATAGCAGCCTTCCAGTATCTGAAGGGAACTTACAAGGATGCACAAAGAGACCCTTTATCAGGGACTGTAGTGATAGGACAAGGGGTAACAGGTTTAAACTTAAACAGGGGAAGTTCAGGTTAGGTAAAAGGATGCAGTTCTTTACTGTAAGGGTGGTGAGGCACTGGAACAGGCTGCCCAAAGAAGTGGTAAATGCTCCATCCCTGGCAGTGTTCAAGGACGGGTTGGACAGAGCCATGGGTGACATGCTCTAGAGTGAGGTGTCCCTGCCCATGGCAGGGGGTTGAAACTTAAGGTCTTTTCCAACCCTAACTATTCTATGATTCTATGTATGTAAGCCTCTTCCACTCTGTGCAACTTTGCTTCCCAGTTCCAGTGTCCTTTGTTTCAGGAACTGAGCACTCTGTTGTACTTCGTCTCACCAATCAATGGCTCTAACAAACTGGGCCATTTTAGAAAGGTGGATTTATGTTGCTAGTTCACATTAGTACCTGGGAAATTGCCAGTCCTGGCCACTGCTTCTGCAGGTCAGACATCTGGCCTTATTGCTTCTGAGGAAGCAGTCCTTGTTTTACATCTTGTGGATATTCCCTGGCTTCTGGAAGTCAGAGGGGCTCTACTGGGGACAGGAAGTCTTTGTCCTTAAGCTCTGTTGAGCCAGCCTGACCTAACAGATTAGGAGAGACAGACGGTTTCCAAGATTTCAAGCTGTCAACACCATCCTCCCTACCCATCTTCCTTCAGCTTCTCAGACTGCTTTGTGCTTCTACTTTGTTTTCCCTGAGTCCCTGTTTTCCCCTCCATGTCAGACTGCCTGACTCTGATCCTTACGGTCAGCATGAGTCCTCCACAGTATCGTCTCGCTCCAGTCGCTCCACACGCCTTTGCAGATACTTGAGGCACTTGGCCTTGCACGAACAGCTGCCTCGTATTTCGTGTTGGGTGAAAGGCTCTCAAACACCACCCACATCTGGTCCTGCACAATGGTGAAGTTCCTGGCCTCCTGGGAGCAGGGTAAAATTAGAGTGTCATCAACAACCCTGGCTTACAGCCTCACATAACCATCCCTTCCAAGGCCCTCACAGAGCACCTATCTCAGATCCCTGTGCCTCATGCACTGCTTATTCAACCTGGAGGAAAATTCTTCCTCACTTTGCTTTTTTCACCCCTTTCAGTCTGTCCTGGAGCTGTCTGGATTTCTTTGTAACAGCACTAAGTAAAATAGGATTCCCATCTGCCTCCATGTCATCAACAAACACTGGCAGCAGGTGACACAGATAAAAGAATGGGGGGTGTCATCTGCTCTCCAGCTTCACCAAAACTGGTTTCATCCTGAGGGATCGCACAGGAGCAGGTCCTTCATATGGTGACAGGTCCCAGTATCCCCCCCTGTACTCACCTGCCAGGACTCGGTCGTGTTTCGGTACCGCACTTGGTATTCCCGCTCCCCATCCAAATAGTGAGAGGAGATATTCAGGCTCCATGTTAAGTTGTAGGTATTTTCAGTTTTGTGAACCAGCTGAAGATTGCTTGGAGGCCTCAGCTTTACTGGAAAGAGAAAAGCAGCAGGGCTGATACCTCCACACTGTCTCTCCATAACAGGACTTCACTGCAGCAGGGCTGGTGTCTTGGTTGTGCTCAAAGGCTCCAGATAGCCATGGGAGAGAATCTGTGAGCTCTCTCCCTCTGTTTCCTCTTCTTCCCCACTGTCACTGACAGCAAAAGGCCTCTTGTCTCTGGGCTACGTTAAAGGCAGCTCCTCCTGTGAGAGTGGGCCCTGCAGTCAGTGCAATCAATCCCCCATGGTCATGCATCCTGTCTTGTGGAGGTGATCCACAAGGCAATGTATGGATAGAGACCTACAGCCACGGGGCGTGGAGTTACACAGACTGTCCAGGCTGATCCTTCCCAACCCCTGACTCTAGCCATGCTTTCTTATGCCTCACCTTGCAGCAACCCTATTGGATGTCCCCTTGAGTGACATAAGCTCACATATTCAACAAAAAAGTGTCCCAAGCAGATGTTTTTCTGCTGGATTAGGGAGTTGAACTCTTTCAGCAAAGACTGGTGCATGTCAAAGCTGGCTTAAAAGAGGGTGGAAGCACATATATGGTAGGAGGGGCAGGGGAAGAGATGCAAGACTTTCCCTCCTTCCCGCACCATGTCTTTTTCAGGAGGTCAACTGAGCTGACATTGAAGCCAGAAGTCCTAGCACAAAGCATTCTTATTTAACAGTGTCCCAGATACAGGACAGGAAGTGGCTGGCACGATGCTGCATGTTAGAGGTGCAAGTGACAGGAGTCAACATGCTTCATTTGTGTTAGTTGTAGCAGGGGACGAGGAAAAGATGCTGGTCTAAAATCAGCTATGGTGCTGCATAGGGGTGGATGGGAAGAGAAATTAGCTATCATTTCATATGGAAGCTTCAAAGACTGCAAGACAGATGAGTACTCACTGTTTGCAAGTGGACTGAAATCTTCTATTTGCACAGGTATAGACCTATTCTCTCCAACCTGGCAATGGACTGACATGGTAAGACTGTCTGCAGTGGTGAAGCATTGAGCCTGCAAAGAAAATTTACCATTAGTGACACTGATGGCTCATCAATAAGCACCCATATTTCTAAGCATTGCCTATACATAAGAGGTTTAGGAACACTTGACAATAAATATGGATGATATCTGTGGCTGAAAGGTGAGTGAGAAATCAAAGATGCATATTTCATGTGGCTGGATTTTGTTCATTGGCTAGAAGGGCACAAAATATTGCAACATGCCAGTTTGCTAGGATTGCTGTATGTGCTGACTAAGGAGGAAAGGAGTTACATTCTATGAGTGATATTTATTGAGAAAAAATATTCCTACTAAAACATTTTGTCTTTATTGGTAAGACTGAGATGACTTTAATATCAACTATTACTCTTGAAATGCAGTGGTACTAAAGGCCCACATACAACATGTAGTATTAAATAAGCAATAGGAAATCAGCTTGGTTAAAAAGAAAAGATTTTGGAGCTGTTTACCAACCATGCAGTTTGTCTTTGCACATGATGTGCAAATGTAAGAAAGCTTGTCTGTCATTAGACCTGGTTGTGAGTTTATCACAATTAATTGCCTGGGAAATGGTGTTAACCTCTTCAAGGAAATGAGGTCAAGAGGTGACTTCAGAGCTGGTGGTGATGTCCATCCCTCAGAAGAAGGGATTAGGGACAAACCCAGGTAGCTGAGACATGGGACACTGTGGTCTCTCTAGCATGGCCCAGCTCACAATGAAGCCAATCCCTCCTGCAGGGGAACCCGCAGGGGCAACGTATATTAGCGTACAATACCAAATCCTATTCTAGAACTGCAGTCAGGTTTGGCCTTTTTACACTGCTTCTGGGCATCACACTGTTTATATACCCCAAAACCCATGTGAAAGTCCACCCTGTCATTAGCCAGGACATCCCAAATGAATTACTCACATTATTGTTTTTGCTGAAGGTCCTGATGCATCTCCTCAGTCCTGTCGTGTGTTCTGCCTTTGGTAATTCACAGTGCTCCTTGATTTTTTCGGATAAGAAAGAGAACCTGGGATTTAAGCAGAACTCCAGTGAGCTGGGAAGCTGTTTCACATGGCACAGGGGGTGACAGGCTGGGAAAACATCTGTGGAGTTACAGCTGAGGGGGTATCAGACTGAGCTGCCTGCTCCAGCTGTAAGGCCAGATGGTGTCCTAGAGCCCTGCTGGTCAAGCAATAGCATGGTTCCAAATTTGGTCCAAATTCCACCCCCAGTCTCTGTGATTCACACCCACAGAGCAACATAAATGTTGTGGATTTTTAGGTGCATGCACTGAGCCCCGGAGTACATTTGCCCATCTCACCCCATTGAAGGTGTCTCTATGACAGTCATGAGCAACCCAACTACTGCCAGAATCACACTGAGCCTTTCCTTATGGCAGGCACCCAGGGAAGCCCTGGGGTAAGCTGGTGAGTCTCTTGGCTGGAGATGTCATACTTGGAGAGCACAGAGACTTAGCCAGCTCCCACTGTAATACTGATCACACACCTACCCCTCTACTGGGAGACATGTGGGAGAGGAAAACATCATGAACTAAGAGAGATGAAGGGGCCAGAGCAGGTAAGGGGAAAATTATTTTACTTCATTTATTGCTACTCAGGATGCAATATCCCAGCTCATCCTGGCAGTGGGACTTTGTATAACTTTAATTCCACCCACCCCATCCTCCTTTTCCACTGAAAATTCCTTTCAGTCCAGGGAGTGGCTACCAAGGAAAAGGGATTTTTTGGGAAATGAAGCACAGGGACAGCTATGGAGCTGGAAGAACAGCTGTGCTAGACAGTGTGGGACTGTTAGATGACAAACACTGAGCAGTGGTCCACATCTCAGCCCACATGAGATTAGAGATGGAGTTCAAGACAAAGCCACTTGACTCTGTGACTGGGGAGGGAGAGCCTACACTGTTGTTAAGTGCTAAACCTCTCAGGACACTTCCTATTCAAAGCATTGACTTTCCTCACCCTCTCCAGTCACCCACCTGCCACAGAAGGGTAACTTGGATATAATCTCCAGGTGGCATGGTGCTTCAGCCAGGTCCTTGCCTGGGGTCCAGTCGCAGAAGAGAGCTGCCCGTGAGTCATACCAACAAGTGAGGCTGGAGGTGCCTGCTGGCAGAGAAGGTATGGACAGTAACATGGCTGAATTAGCATTGACCATCACACCAGACAGTCCTGCCCCATCACAAACTACAGACTGACTCCTCTGCTGGATAACTGACTCCAAGTAAGAAAGGCAGAGCCACTCCTCTGTGTCATAGAATCACAGAACGGTTTGGGTTGGAAAAAACCTTAAGATCATCCAGTTCCAACCCCCTGCCATGGGCAAGGACACCTCACACTAAACCATGTCACCCAAGGCTCTGTTCAACCCAGCCTTGAACAGTGCCAGGGATGGAGCATTTATCACTTCTTTGGGCAACCTGCTCCAGTGCCTCATTACCGTCACAGTAAAGAACTTTTTCCTTACATCAAGCCTGAGCTTCCCCTGTTTAAATTTGAACCCATTACCTCTTGTCCTTGGAGGTTGATGTGCTTATAAGAGACCTGTAGCTGTTACAGCCTCTTCTGGCTGTATGATACAACATGAACTTTGCACAACAACACACTGTGGCACAAACACTTCTCTGCCTGACTCCCCACCCTGCTTGTGCAGCTGGCACAGGTGAAGAGAATCACTTCTTACCTTGTGCTGAGTCTGATGCCCAGGAGAGAGGTGTGAGGCTGAACAGCCAGAGGTGACACAGAAGCAGCAAAGAGGGCTTCATCTGTACTGGTGACACACTGAAAGAGAGAAGATGCCACCCAACATGTCTCAGCAATGCAAATTAGGAAGATGTCATCCCACAGGAGGTAGTCACTGTCCTCAGGTAGGGCTCAAAGCCAGTGGCAATATTCCAGGCTCAGGAACTCACACCTCTTCCACTCCGGAGTGCGTGCTCTCCCCTCACCACCTCATTTTTTCCTGCCTTGGGTGCTTTGCTCAGCACTGAAACAATTTGCAGTGCAGAACAGACAGGCTGTTTGCAGGAGTATTGCCTCCTGAAAATGCGTGTGTGAGTGCACAGCAGTCTGCATGTGTTGTTTCAGGCTGCTTGCTGACTCAGGTAGAGAGTGCTGCCTTGGTTGCACATGGCTTGTGCTTTGAAGAGGATCTTTTTTTTGGTAAGCCCCAGGGCTGAAATAACTCGGTGCTTGCTGAGTAAGTGGGGACTCTGGCTGCAACTGACAAAAGTTAGTTACACAGCTCATGGCTTAGGAGGTAGATTTTGAATAGCTTGTTTCGGACGGGGTGGGAAATCTGGGAGAAGGAGGAGTTTACCAGGTTCTGGGAAGTCAAGGCTTTAGTATACCACAAAACATTACATAGTCATGTACAAACCAAGCACCATCCTTGCATCCTCATCCTGCACTGCCTTGGAAGGAGCTGTGCTTTCCTGCCCTGCTCACCTCTCATAAACCCTGAAGCCCAGGCAGAGCTGAGCTAAATAAGACATAGTCCAGCTGGACCCTACTGGGACTACCAGAAGGGTGGGAAGAGAGGGTTTATAAAGGGCTGGCATGAGGCATAATATTGATTCCGCTCACGATAAAAGATTAGGTTCAGAGGAAGAAAAGCATGACGACAATGCATTAACAGACAAAGGGGAGAGAAAGAGAGTGAAAGAAAGCAGGCGGTGTGGTTGTGAAGATGCAGAGTATGATTTGAGAGGACTGTGGAGAGACAGAGAGATAAATATGTGCTCAGCCCTCCCCAACGGTGACATTCAGTTTGTCAGACTGAAACTTCTTCCAAGATGCTTTTCAAATCAGCCACCCCCATATGGGAAAGAGCTAGCATCACCCCCTTTACCTTTCAGCTGTGGGCACCAAGAGGTCCTGATGAAGGGAGTTCCTGGGGATCAGGTCGTAGAGTTGGGTGAATGCAGGTGCTGAACATCGAACAGTGAGGGAAATGGAGAGAGGAGAACAGAGAGAGATGGAGGCGGATATCCTAGCTCAGTGCATGTCCAGGTGCCAGCCAGTGCTGCTGGCACAAGAGTTGCTTCCAGCCTGGCAGTTCTGCACATGCATGGTCTTGTACATGCACAGTCTCTATTTGTCTTCTCCCTCTCACCTTTGCACAGGAAGCTGCCACTCACTTGCCTTGTCAGAATGAGACGAGGCCCCAGAGTATCGAAAAGGCTAGTGAGGCCGAGAATAAAAAGCCCCAAACCACGTCCTACTTCCTGCTGGTAAAGCAATAGGTGCAGAAACAAGGGTGGAGGGATCAGGTGTTAGTTTGCAGTGCTCAGATATACTGGGACCAGTTTGTAAGTATTGCTGGGGAGCCAGAGAGAGAGAGGAGGACCTATTCTCTTGGGACACTGGCAAGAGACCCACAGCTTTCTTTTCCATACACCCAAGCAGATTGCTCATATCACTCTCAGGGTCTGCACAGGTGCACAGATCACTTTGAAACAGAGGATAGCAGTCTGTCTGTTGTAGAAATACCATGGACCACTTTGTGAAGAATAACTCAAGATGCTGACCTCATCAACACTAGAACGAAACCAGCCTCCACATCAGTGCTCCAGTTTCAGACGATCCATCCTGGGTCTGAGCGGGAGTGGAACGAGGGCAGTGCTGAGTGTGAACAAGCTTGAGGTGCAGCCTTCATGCTTGCAGATGGTGTGACACCACAGGGACACCCATCCGGTGGCCTCCCTACACCGAGGTACACCCCACTCGCTCCACAGAAGGAAGAATCACCGCCTCTGATGTGAGCCTTGCAGCTAGTCCAGACAGGCAGCACCACCCCACATAGCTTCAGTGCCTGTTTGGCACAGCTTGTCCAGTCAACAGGCCAGGCAGGGATGCACAAAATATGCCCATCTTCTTCCAGAGCTTCATGCACCCTCAGCTTCACAGATAGATAACCTCTAATGGGCCCTGCAAGTTAGTTTTAGAAGATTCTTTCACCACAGGCAGACATCTTACCCTGGGTGAAGATTTTGCCATCACATCCCAAGCCAAGACAGATGCACAAAGGCAAATCCACAGCCCGACGGTTGCCCATTTCACAGATAGGCATGTGCATGCATACGTGTTCCTGCACACCTCTCTTTTTCCATACACAAATACAATTCTCCGAAGTGCAGCACGTTGCGTTTCCTGTCTGGTCTGGGCTGCACGATGATGGCCGTCTGTGTGGGGCCAGATGATGAGAATCTCCATTTATACACACAGCCGTAACCATGCTCCTCACCTTTCTCTCCTAGAGCAGCTCAAGGCCCGAGCTGAGGTCCAGCAAGCAGGTTTTGCTGATCAAAAGTTGTATGAGGCTAATCTCAGGCCTACGGGCGGTTCCTGTTTAAAGACTCTATAAACGTGGAGGTTGGGATCTCCTTTAACAACAAAGGGATCTTAGTTTCAGGTAGTGGAAAAAGGGTGTGGGAGGTGGATGAGTCTTTAGTCACAGGCAACCAGCCCAGAGACTGGTTCTCAGAAGATATTAGACCTCAAACAGTGTTGGAGCAAAACAGTGGTTTGAAGGCTGCAATAGTGGATCTTCATGGCCACTTCTGGGAGAGCACTGCAGCTAATCCAGCATCGAGCACTCACTTAGCCAGCAGTCACGAGTGTAACACCTCTTTCCCTACCATGCATGGCATAGACCAGGAATCTGAGAGGTGCCACTTGGATACTCTTGCTTATCACCTGAAGACTCCTGTTATGGCCATTGTTTGTGAGGGCAACCAGGGAATCTGGCAGCCAGCCACTGTTGAAGAGGTGCAGTGGAGAGGATGGGCTGATGCTCTCCTGCAGTGGTAATCACTGACTGTGGTGGCTGAAGCCTGGAGGTTCCCAACAGGATGGAGCTGTAATGGCATGTATTATCAGGGCACAGGCCACCTTTCCCAGGAGCTCTTAAAATGAATGCAGCTTGCTCTGGTGCAGAAGTCCTCAGCTGAAGCAATGAAATCCTCTTGGTATCACCAGCTTTGTGGCTGCAATGGAATGAGTATTCATGTTAACCATCATTTTTCCCATTTATCCTTCAGACTGAGAAATCAGCAATTTCCTTCAAACTACAGATCACTTTGGGAAAACAAGAGCACAAAGAGCCCATTTTTTATTGTTCATCTGAGGATCATAGAATCACAGAATGATTTGGATTGGAAAGGACTTTAAGATCATCTAGTTCCAACCCCCCTGCCATGGGCAGGGATACCTCACATTAAACCATATCGCCCAAGGCTCTGTCAACCTTGAACACTGCCAGGGGTGGATCATTCAATACTTCTCTGGGCCACCCATTCCAGTGCCTCACCACCCTCACAGTAAAGAACTTCTTCCTTATATCTAACCTGAGCTTCAACTGTTTAAGTTTTAACCTGTTACCCCTTGTCCTACCACTACAGTCCCTAATGAAGAGTCCCTCCCCAGCATCCCTATAGGCCCCCTTCAGACACTGGAAGGCTGCTATGAGGTCTCCACGCAGCCTTCTCTTCTCCAGGCTGAACAGCCCCAACTTTCTCAGCCTGTCGTCCTATGGGAGGTGCTCCAGTCCCCTGATCATCCTTGTGGTCTTCCTGTGGACTTATTCTAACAGCTCCATGTCCTTCTTATGTTGACGACACCAGAACTGCACACAATACTCGAGGTGGCGGTCTCACAAAAGCTAAAGGGCAGCCAGTTCCTTGGAGATTGTTTTTTCTAGATCTGGGTCTCTACGCTAGATACTCATGCAGATTTTCTGATACCTAGTAAGAATTGATGTCACACTGAAGATTTTCCCATTGAGACTCCTAATCTAGAGCCAGCTCTCCTTCCATCTTTGCTTAACAGTAGTAAGGGATCTACCTTTGTCAGGTGTGACTGGAATTGATTGACTTTTCCAAAACTGTGAAAGGAAGGGGAATACTCTGTTGGATCAGCTAACAGACAGCCAAACACGGATGTGTGTGAACACAGACAGGCTCAGCATGTCTGGTTTCCATTGGAAACACCATTTCAAATGTACTAAAGTAACAACTGTACGGCATAATTAGGAAACGGTTTCCTACCCAGGCATGATACCATGACTGTGTCCAGACTCCATGTGATGCAGATAAACACACTTGCTATATGCCCAGTTTTCACACTTGATTGCCCAGGAAGTTGTGCTACTGAGAATTTTGCACTTTTTTATCTCCTTTACATCAACTTTGATAGGGATGGTGCCATTTGTAATGCAAGAAGCCAAACAAACCCACATTGTCAGAAACACATGCAAGGTGTTCTTGTGATTACCTTCCTTTCCTCATAATGGACACTGAGACGGGTGAACTCACTAGTCAGCATTGTTGTTTGGTGTTAAAGCCGGCGGGTAAAAGTATGCTGTTGGAGGTTTGGTTAAAGGTGTTGTTTGGGCCAGAATGATGTTTCAGGGGCAGTGTAAGTTTTAAAGATCCTCAGGTCTGGGACAGGTGTTTATGCACAAGCTCATCTTTTCCCCTTCATTCTGCTTTCATTCAGCACTGCTGAAGCTTCTCAATCTCTAGTTGCGTGTCTACTGAGAGTCTCTGCAGAATGGCAGAGTTGAATGAGAGAATAAAGAGAGCAAAGCAGTGTGAAGCATTGTGTGGTGTCGAGCTACACCATACTTGCTCAACTCATCAGCTGACATCGGGCTAGGCACATCCCTTCCCTTTGCTGGCTCCCAGCTGGGACTGGAGTCCCAGGCTAATTGGGATGCCTTGCCCCTGGTTTACAAACCACCCAGCTCACTAGGGGTGAGTTTAGTGTAGTAGGAGGCTCAGTAGATCCATCTCAGAGCCCTGACCCCGTGATGCTCTGGAGTGGAGCAGTGGGAAGGGTGCAGAGGGAGCAGAAGGTGAGGGGATGAGGGCAGAGATGCCCTAATGGCCACCAAAGTTCGCTTCCTGACAGGATACACTGTGAAGGCCTCTAGACGCTCTGTAGGTTTGGTACTTTCCAAATAATGTTGTTTTAACTATAACCTTTACATTTAATTTCCTGCCATTCGTATACGTGAGCTTCTGAAAACTACATCACTCTACATCTGCCCTTATTTTCCCCTTAAACTGTGGTTCTACTCCGAAAAATGTCTATAAAAATGGCCCTGTGGGGAACCACTGGTTGGTGTATCAGTGAGCTCTTTACCGAATTTGTTCACATTACAAGTCTGAAAGAGGCCTTGACTCGTATCAAAATGGCAACCTTGGGCCAATGTTAAAGAGGATTTTTTTCCTCCTGCTTGATCATCCCTAGGGATATTGCTGCTTCAGGCTAAATGTTGCCATTGGGTGAATCTCCATCACCATGTTAAAGTGAAGAGGCATTTAGCAATGGAGTTTAAGTTCTTATATCAGGTACCACAATGGAATAACCATGCTGGACAGCAAGTGTTAAGCCCACCTACACACCAGATGATATTCCTGTTCCTTCCCTTCCAACTTCTGTCCCACAGAAAGTGTCCTGATAGATCTGCCTGATAAAAGCAGGAGACATCAAATATATGCATGAATACACAGAATGTTCAAAAGTAGGGATTTCCTAGCCTTGCAGGCTGCAGAAGAGCATGGATAGAAGGGGTAGAAAGCTGGTGCATTTGCAGGCACCATCACCCACAGCAAGTGTAGGGCCACAGGTGGGAGGGGATGGAGGAGGTGTTCACTTTCACTCTCTGACAGTGATGGTCACAGGACCAGAGAAGTGGGGAAACAAGGGTGGGAGGGAAAGCATGCTGCTTTCGAGCAGTTTCACTCTTAGCCTGTCTGGCTGTGAACACACAGCTATGAAATCATGAGCATGAGCACGAGACAGTCACAAGATGCCCCCACTCACAAGCTGAGCCCTGGCTCCTCAATATGTTTGGATTGAACTAGACAGTGCCAAGAGTTTGGTCTAAAGGACTGGAGCCCATGCAGCAGATTAAAGGTTTAAGAAAGCTACTCAGTGTGGATGCCTGCCCCCCTAGTGGGTGCTTGTGGTGACAGAAGGGCTGCTCAGACCTGGACTCCCTGCATACACACACTCATGGAAGACCTGGGCTGTCACGGAAGGGTAATTGAAGACCCTGGGCCTGGCACTCTCTGTTCCTCAGTGCCCTTGGATTCAGCAACTTGAAAGAAGGCCAGTACCTATGCCCTTTTCTGATCCTGTGGACATAGTATGGGACACACAGCAGGCATTTGAGCCACAGCAGTATGGCAAATGATATCTGTCAGCTGAATCTAAGGTGGCATCTGTGATTGAAGATTTTCTTAGTATGGTGCACCTGCAATGGAAAACTCAGCATCCTTCCTAAACTGGAAGGAAGGTGGCGTACCCATGGGACTGTCAACGTGTTTGTACAGCTCTCACATCCTCTCCGTGTCTCAATTTCCACACAGAGAAAGGGGCATAAAGGACATCTCATCTTTTTCAAGAACTGAGATTCGCAGACCAGGCACCAGATCCTTCATCACATACAGGTGTTCACTGCCTGAGTCTGTGGGGATATAATTGACTTCCAGTATTAATCCATGCCTGTGCAAGTCCCTGAGGGTTCCCTGGGGCTGAATGCTGAAGATGCATGGCCAGAGGATCTACAGGTCATGGACCTGTGTTGAAGATGGAGTGCCTGTGTGAGATATATGATCTACAGGAGAGCAGCGTTGAGTCAGAGACCATCCTTACGCCAAATCTGTGCCTGAGAAAGATAATGAGCTGAATGCTGGCCAATTTGCTGTTCAGCACCGGTGACTGCTCTCGTCCTTGAGGGAAATCATTACCTTGTTACCTGGGCGGTCTTGGAAAGATACAGCCCTGCTCTGTCTTGCAGCCTGCCAATGTGTTATATCTCTCTCTATTTAAAGTTAGAGGGACCTGTGTGCTTGACAAGCCTAATATGAAGCAATGATGGCTTCAGACCTAATAAACTGAGAAGAATTCAGAGATTTATTGGACATTGAAAACTGCTTGAAGGCAAGACATGATACTGCAAGATGATTCTTGAGAATAAACCCTCCGGTGCTTTGATTAGTGAGGCTTGCTCCCAATTGAATCACATTTCCCTTCCTTCTCTACAGGAAAAAATCATTACAACAACCACCCCAGTTCTGCTCAGAGCTCTCCTTGCTCCTCCGTTTTCTTCGTCTCTGTGCCTGAGCACTTCCTAGAAAGGGAGTTAATTAGGTGGTTGATTTTGGTCTAAAATGATGTCATGCTTATCCAAAGGCCAGCCCCTGCCCCTCCTTAAGCTCTTCTGGGGTCACTGGTTGGTGACTATGGCAGTTATTGCCTTTCATGTCATTAAAATGTCTGAACAGAAATTACTTGTTTAGAGGTAGCTGCCTGTCTCCCCACGGCTTGGTGCTCAGGCTCAGTCAGGAAAGCCATTCTTTCCCTTCCTCTGTGGTTTCCAGATCCAGGCTTTCCATTTGCCCCTCTAATATTGCTCCACAGGATCCCTTTATTCTCTCTTCACCACCTTGGGAGGCAGAAGATACGATAAGGAACGGCCACAACCAGTGTGCCTGTGTGGAAGGAATGGAAGAGAACGGTGAAGTCCAGGTCCACAACCTGACCAAAGGACTTGAGGACACTTCACTCCCCCAGGCGTTGTACTGCCTTGTGAACTAGGTCAGCCCAAAGGGCTCCTCATCCCTCAGGGTTTCAGCTGTGGGCTTGTTCCTCTGAGCACTTTCCCTTTCTCTGAGGTGAACTGCCCATAGCACAGTGGCTCTACAGCCTGATGAGGCTTTTGGGTATGGCTGCATGGAATTGAAAGCCATCTTTCTGGCTGCGGAGCTGGAATAGGAAAGACTGTTTGTTAGTGTCAATCCAGATCCTGGTGAACGCTGCAAGACCACCACTGAGAGAGAAAACAAGCAGTGTGGAAATTACTATTTTCACCACTTCTGGTCTCTGAGTACCCTAAAGGTGCTCCTTGAGAGATGTGACACAGAGGCCTTTACATGTGATACATTCCAGTTTTGTTG